AGTTCGAGGCAAAAGATCTCTAGTTTCGGCGAAGCCAATAGCCTGTAGCTATCGGCTGAGGACTACGTGCACTGCAAAGGATAGGAAGAGTGTAAACGGTATACGTTCTCAACGTAAATAGGTTACCAGAGATCTTCACCAGGGCACTGGATTGGTGGTCTTTTTTGTATTGTTGGAGCTCAAATTAGGGCAGTTATTCACATTCACAGTAAAACGTCTCCAAACAAAATGGTTTCCACTAATATATCTAGGGTACTTTGGTCAGCGTAATGTTCAAATTTATCAAGCGGATTAACTGCTTCAGGATACTTTGGTTGTTCTGGAAAACCTTTAAATGCTCTAGATACAATCCACGCTATGCTTCATCGCGAACACTACGAACAGGCAGTAGGTCTCAACCCCAGTAAGAGAGGCGGGTATATCAAAAATATCTTTAAATAGCAGAAATCAAGTTAGTGGCCAAACTTTCTTTCTGAAACCGAGCACTTCAGACTCCATGTTTAAGATCTTCAAATGCCGCAAACTGAAAAACCTTCAGTAGGTTTTGGCTTATCTAACTCGGTATACCAGTGCGATGAATTTCAGCACACAATGGTAAGTGACACCTTGATGAAAGGTAGAAAATCAGACGTCGCAGAAAGTTATGAAAGGAGGACGAAAGGAAACGGAGGAACCGTGTAGTTCTCCATGACGGTTAATCCTAGGATAATGTATGAATGCATCTGCACCACTGAAACCGATTCTGAACAATACCATCTTGGGTATCCAATCACCGATTTCCGTCGCAATACATTCCCCACCCAGAAAGTTTAGATTTCCCGATAAAGCTTATACCAAGCATCAGACGCTTTGTGAACCGATGATATGTTTTAGTTTGCCGAACCTTTACGTTTTCCTTACTTGAATGTGCATCAGCTTAGTTTGTGTGACGAGATGACTGTGATTTGTGGTAAACATCTCACGCTCGTAGTGACCCAGCCATTAAACCATCAAAAGAAGGAAAAAAGCCCTTTCTCAAGCTGATGTTTCCTATAAGGACTGGTGTGAGCCACCGGAGCCGCCATCCTGAAAGCTGAAGACTAAACTGATCAGATTGTAGCATGGTAACTTGAAAGTGGTTCTTACAACGGTCGACCACTGCTAATGTGAGATCAAAAATCAAATTTTGGCTGTGTCCACGCACAAGCCGAGTGTCAACCTGACAGGCCTTTCAAATTCACCAAACTTGACTAAAATACCGTTGTATTGATGGGCATTAACATTTTGCCTCAAGATCCGATGGCAGTGAGTGAATGCTAATGCTCTTGCAACAGATGCATGTGTCCGGTCTATTGACGAATGAGGCTATTGATCATGTACACACCACTTGTCTGAGATATAGTCTTGTTATAGTGTCGTTGTTTGTATTACACCGTCGTCGGTTGGACCGAATCAATCAGTCTCTGTTGGCATATGGGTTCCTGTCCGGATGCCTCGATATTGCCTGTGTCTCAGTTATGTATAGTAATGATGTGTAATAGTGAAATGCGCATCCTGGATTCTACTGCTAGCCACGGCCCATCATTATAATAGTCTTGTTAGTTGAAAACTTTATCTGAGAGCCAACCCCTTTTCACTGTAATAATGTTTGTTCTCAGTTTTTATTTCTTGTTAAAAACCTATCCATTAAATTTCAAAAGGGGCAGGAGTTACATAATTGTTTTATCAATTTCTGAAAATAAACAGCATATGAAATGTTAACACTGCAGTTGTTCGGCGTTTTAATGCTCTAACTGTAAGCGCCATATTGCCGTGGCAATGTTAAGAATCAAATGGGAAGCGTCAGGTTTTTTCTTTTTTCATTCTGCTTTATTGATAATTTTCAGTGATCATTAACTACTTCACCCTTTGAAATAGTTTATGTTAAATACAAGCCTGCCTTGATAACTTATTATTTTCGGCAAAGTCAGTTTGACGTTTTTTGTTATGCTGGCAATGGTCAACTTAGATTCCACCATTATGTGACTCACTTTTTTTTGATGATCATATTAGGACAAAGTGCTGGTACATCTTCAATTGTCTACGTGCGCACCACTGCAGTAAATGCTAGGCTTAGGAGTCTACGGCATTGTTACCAAGTGAGTCGGAAGATACTGTAACTTCTGAACGGTGCTTGCAGAAACATCTTTTTAGGTAAAGCTTAGGTCTACGTTAGTTACTGAAAGTGCAGCTTTATGCGATTATCGACGGTTTAAAAGTGGGTTATCAGGTGAACTGTTCCTTGATGGTCTTCCTAAGCTCTCTGTATTATCGAAGTTAGTCCTTGAGATTTCGGAATGCAAGTAAAGCTCTATTTTTGCAAATTAACCATGGTTTTTTGGTTATATCTTCCACTATTAAACGGTACTTTGCACTTTGGTGCATGTAAAAGAACCATGAGCCCTTCTTTATTTAGGTATTTTAAGATGGGTAAGACCTTATTTATCTCGTGGCTGTATTAACAGTCATACCGATCAAGTCTATTGATTCAGAATGTTTCGCTACTCTTTATTGCGTTGGTGTTCAGTTTAAATTACGGTTTCGTCACTTCTCAGGTACTGTACACACACTATCCACCTAATCGTAATGCGTTGATTCGATAAAATGGTCTTTTGCTCCGTAAGCGTATCTCACAGTTATCCAGTAGTAACTCCATGCTTGAAGTAGCAGTTTTGTATCGTGATCTCTTGGTGTTAAGTTTTCCTATTGTGCGTCACTACTGCTTAGGATTTTGAGTTCGCTTTGCATAATTAACGTAAGATACATTGTGTTAAGATGTCTGCAAGCCGATGCATGATACCTGTGGCGGTGGTGGTTGGGATTGTAGTATGAAAAATAACAGTGATGACGTTAGGGTCCTAGTAACCAGTTGTGTGGATGTAAAGTTTCGTTTGTATCACTTTTGGTATTTCGATCGAAATGTTGTTGAATTTGTCCTCTGCATGTCGAAGGGTCTGTAGACTTCAGATACTTTCTCCACTCCCGTACTACTGGTTATTGCGCCTCTTCGCTCTACATATTTGGGCATTAGTCTGTAAACCACCGTATGAAAGCGCGTAATGTCATTTAGTTATCAAAACCGAAGTGGAAAGCAACTTCGTCTTAAGGTCGAATATGTAAGTCAGTGAGCCACATCGCTCCAACTACGTTTCATTACTTAAATGACTTACTTAGGGTAATATCACCTAGAGTATTGTTAGATCATGGGGCCACCAATCTGGAAGTCTACATTCCGGTCCGTGGCTCAGACCAATAATCAGAGACTTCATGGGTCGAAGTTCCATTTTAGTGTGGCCAACTTTGACCGTTTTTCTGCCCAGACTCGCTTCAGCTTGCATTGCGCATCAGGGAATACGGCCGTGCATATATAGCATTTCTCAACTACATTAGTCAAAAGTATGTAACATGAACTGACTTACTTCTTCCGCATAAATCCCTAACGGTGATCGGACACCTGATCTGTCCTCATTTTTCTATCCATTTAAGACAAATTTGGTACAGCACCAGGAGGCGAGCCATGCATGATAGTATATTATCGTAAGGGAGACAGAAATTTGGTACAGGGAAAGAAGAAACAAATGGAAATAGACCTCCAGGAAACCCCTCCAAGAATACGTTTATTAAAGCATTCTCTACCTTTCACTTCTCAGTAATGCGACGGACAAAAAGCTGAAGCGTCGTCTACTTTGTTTCGATGCACAGCTATGTTTCTTGTTGTCTCAAGCGTTTTCTCAAAACCCATCTAGAGTCGCTTGGTACTGACATATCTAATCGACGTAGTCATCTTCCATCTAGCGTCTTAGACTGACTGGCTACCTCTTCCTCTTTGAACCAGTCTCTAAGCGAACAAATAATGGACAGTATGGGAGCCGCTGGGACGACACTGGTAATATGTCCAAATCATCTGTCTCATAACCACTGCTTTTATTGGTCATGCTTCACAAACATACAGAGCGAGCCGCTACACAGTACACCAAACTCAATTAGCAATCGAATATCTCGCTTGTACCATAGATTTCTAAACTTAAGTTCATCAAAATTTTTGAATCCATGCCGAGATTTCGTCGACCACTGACTTATCAGGACCCATACGACTTCCCAAGTAAGCAAAGCAGTGAGCGTGCTCACCCTTTTGGTAAGTGAAATATTGATGCAAGTCAGTCCAAAAGCAGTATGCTGCCTTTGAGTTGTGAATTGCACATACCAAATATTCCCATGTCGTCGCTCAGTATTCAGCATACTCTGCATCTTGTCAGGGATTTTACTTGACGGGATTATATCGTATGCGTACTATATGGTGATTAGGGAGTTCTGTTACGAGAGCAATCCGTGTAAAGTCATGAGGATAAGGGACCTCCATGTTTATGGTTACGGTAAAGATAAAAATGAAACAGATGACATTCTTGACGGATACCACTCGTCTTGGACAGCACTTAATATCTTCATAGACTGGAATGTACTCAAAATGGTTCAACTACAAAGCCTTTAGTGAGTAGTGATGCGCACTGGTTATCCCTTTCACTAAGATTGCAACGACGTCTGGATTGAAGTGGAATGATGCCTTTAGGTCAGAAAATACAACTAATTTTGGGTACGGGTAAGTGTGCTTGCGTTAAAAGTTATGATTATTCTGGTAACCATCCCTTTCTAATGGAAGCTACTTGGTTTATGAATCACATAAATTACTTGCCTGAGCATGGTTTTCTTAGTATTATTAACTAGGATTAATCACCTGTTCTTGTTTGCTGATGGGTGTTTACCAATAGCTATCAGACAGTTAAGCAGTGGCCAGAAAAGTCGAATTGGGAGTAACTCTTAACATATGTTTAATGGTTGAAGTACTCTATATGCTTACGAATTTCTTTTCTAACATGTAGGAGGCGAAATCATACTACTTTCAGTCTCCACACAGTGGCACATTTCAATCCATTAGGATGAGTTCAAAGGTACGATACTTTTATTTATAACTTCTTCAGAGCGATATGCGTGTCCCAAAACCTCCTAAACCACCTGAAAAGCCATTAATGCCTTACATGCGGTACAGTCGAAAGGTTTGGGAACAAGTCAAAAACTCAAATCCGCATCTTAAATTATGGGAAGTTGGAAAGATTATTGGTCAGATGTGGCGAGAACTTCCTGATGATGAGAAAATACTGTATATGGAAGAGTATGATGCGGAAAAAACGCAGTACGCTGAGTTGCTACGACAGTATCACAGTTCACCAGCTTATCAAGCCTGGTTAGTTGCAAAAGAAAGAGGTAATGAATGATTTAACTAATCCCAATTATTTTCTAGCCGAAAAAAGCTTGGAAGAACAAGACCAAGAACGCAGACAGACCATATTGAGGTCAAGAGATCGTGGAAATGAACTTCCTCAAGGTGACCTGAGAGAATCTTACATCTTGGAAGATAACGAAGAAGGTACTGTTTTAGCGACCTAACTGTAGTCTTTAAATATCTTGATGTGAAAAGTAAATTAGTAGATTTCATGTATGTGGTAAGAATGTCATGATCTGGAAAATATCCACTAGATGTGCTTACTACTTATCATATTTGGACTGAAATTAGTTACCAGACCGGTTGGTAAGGCTAGTGTCCTTTTTAAAGATACTCAACTGGCGCTCTAACCCAACTCGGAAAAGGTGGTCTCAAATATTGGGAAACAAGCTTGTAAATCTAACTTAGCGGTAACTACATCTACAGCTTAATTCCCATAAACTAAAGTTAGTCTTTGCCGGCCATATACTTGCCTTATGACTATTTTGATCGACCTTGGCAATAAAACGCAGTAATCGACTTCCTAATCTTTCAATGTCTTAACAGTCATTTTTAACGACGAAGGGAAACAGGTTTCTTCTCAACAGTTGGGCCTTTGGGTCTCAATAAATCCTTTTGCATGCTTCATGATGAACTTCGGATATCCACTCTCAATAAAAGCGAATTCTTCATGTTTGTCTTCTGATCATAGCGTTCTTATTCTAACAAAGAGCGTCCCGACGAAACCACGCTCATAACTGGCAGGAAGGAAACTACTGTAGTCAAGGTAAGGTACTGATCAATCCAGGTGTCTCATGTGGATGGTTCTCTCATCTCTACCATTACAACTGTCGTATACTCAAGTCCAAAAAATTGTCTTCTAACTTTTGTATTCATGTAGAGATTTCGTCAGTCGTTGACACGGGTTGATCCAGTTTAAGTGATCAACTCACTACACCACTTCATTCTTTATTGTTACACAAGAGTGCAACTCCACACCTATTGTGTGGTGGCTAGTAATACTAATTAGCTGCCCAATTGTTGGTAAGAGAATCGATATACCGGCTGAAAGTCACGTATCCGAACCAGTGATCCACAACTGTATAGCCAACCATTTTTGAAGCAACAGTATCCATTTAAGTAGTAAAAAAACAGCCCGAACATTTTCAGATTACCACTCAACATGTCGAGAAGGTTACATCTTGTCGACGTCTTCGCCTAACGGGTCTCCGGGACGAGGTCAATCCCTGTAGTCAGACAAGAATAGAAATCTCCTTAGTCATCTCCATGATAAAATTAAGTAAAGTTGAAGTAGACATCATTGACGAGAGCTACTTGAATAACACCATTCACCTGGTACCTCACTATGGTCTCCATCCAACACGCCCATGGGTGTTGACAAACCAAAAGCTGTTGCCGGACCACTTACTACTACCCTAACATGGTGGTCTGGTTTGCATACCACAACGGCCCAACGAACTGAGCTGGTGGAATGCTTGTTCTGTTGGGGTCCTACCATTCCAGAAAGGTCTGTTAGGTAGTGGTTAGACTAGAAGCAACTATTATAATGTAAATTGCCACACTGTTGACGGTCGGAAGGCAAAGTCGTACTGCTGACTGGACTGGTATGTGACGGCAGCAGTTTCCCTCGGATGACCAGTAGTACCCCGCTGATGCCATCTTCCCTATGGGCGAGGTAGGTAGGTTATAAAATGTTGGCCCTAAAACCAGCACATTCATCTCGCAGAATACCGGTGACATGGGTTCATCGTGGGATTCAAAAGTCATAAACCAAAATCTCAAACTTGTTAGAATGTCGTGTGTGACCAGCTTCAAGCTGATGTCCCTTGGTTTCTGCGGTCACTCAATGACCCCTCCTTTTTAGGTGGCTCAAGAACTAGCCTTCCACAATATGGGCAGCTGAGCAGTGTCAATCGCCGTCACAACTATACCAGCACTCAAAAGCCCTCATTAATATTCATCCATATCCTTACCTCCTAATCTTCCTTCACCACTCTTGATCAGTATTCCTACACCATCAATTTCTCCCAGTTCTGCAGCTGTCGACAACGATTTGAGTTCACAGAACAGCATCGTTGGTCTCTTGAAACCGATCTCTAAATTACGCGTTGGACTTTCAATGTCCACACCCTCCACCAAATCAGCCAGCAAACTTCACTAGCTGGAACTCGGGCTATGGATGTCTGCTGTGTTTAAGGTACGTATACAAGACCCAATTGCGGTCACTCATTAACCTTATCCGGCTAATGTGGTGAATCCGCAAAATTCACCCTTCGAGTTTCTGAAGATTCAATGGCCAGTTTTCGCGGTCTTGTAGGTGTATGTGTGGCATTGAACACTGAATCTGAAAGTCCACTACACTGTATCCCAGCTGACAGTCGTCCGTGCACTTTTCGACCAAATGACACAGTGAAAACTAAAAAATGGAGAAAATGCTTTTCTTCTTTGTAATCTCCGCCTGCACATCCACTGACTGCAGTTCGGATGAAGTGATGAGTGAGTTCTACTGAAAACTCTAACCTCCTACTGACAGACGAACAGTCAGACGTGGTATTTATTGCAGAGGATTTCAATGGACAAGTAGGTCTGCTAAGTCAGACAGACACTTCGGTGGCACTTTCGGAATCCGAGCCGAACGAATAGATAACGGGAATCGCTTAATACGACAGTGCTCGGATAACCATTTATTTCTGGCCAGGACTAACCTCAGGTATGAAAGACATTGTCATATGTGGCGTTCACCGACTTCATTTAGTGGTAGGTACACAGACCATATTGTTAATAATCACTGAAGAGAGCCGGTGAAAGATTACCGCTCCTTGTGGAGCATGTTTGGATAGCGACAATGCGTTGGTTCGAGGGCTTTTCAATGGACTTTGGAAAACTTTAACAGCAAGACTGTTGCGAGTGCGGCTCGATGATAAAAGAGCTCTAAAGCCCCTTTCAATGAGCAACTAGCTAGTCAGTTATTGGAACTGAACAACACTCATCTGGAAGACGTTTGGCAGTATCTCCACTATGCAGTGAAAGGAGCGTTAGGGAGTGGTTACAAAGAGGCAGGGAATATCGGCAGCTTCTGGAAACTAATGGATGCACACGAACGCATCCTTACACCCTCCGAGTACAACGAGGTGTGAATCCAACTCAAATATTGACTGAAATGAAAAAAGCAGCAGCGATAGATAACATAGTTATTTAGATCTGTTAAGGAAATGGATGAAAACGTCACTAGTTAGTGCAACGATAGAGGACAACGATGGTTCTATGATTCACTCACAGGCGAGAAAACTGGAACGATGGACGGAACCATCGAGTTGGCCTTCGGCTACTATTACAGTCGGAGCGTGAATAGAACATCGAGGTAGGACCCAAAGGGTTTGCAGAAGTCAAAAACACTGGGTAACTTGAAACAAGGAAGAGCATTACGGCCAGATGAACTAGCTCCAGAGATATGTAAGGATGATCATCAAGGATTTCTTGTCAAGTGCTGGCTAACGTGTGAGAATCAGATATGATCCCCTCTAACCGGTTTCTATCACTGATTGGTCCTTGTCTTCAAGAAAGGGGAGAAATCCTCTTGTCATTATTACAGGAAGACCAACCTGGCGAGTATGGTGTCTAAAATTTTATGTTCTGTAATTATCGAGCACGAGCACAAGAAACCAGAAAAAACCAGGCAACCTTCAGTTCTGGTTGCGTGTGTATCGACTAATATTCACTCTCCGCCAGGTCCTACGAAATAGGATCACTTACCAACGTCCTGCACTAGCTGTACTTCTCAATCTGAAGGTAGCACTTGACTCCATTGACCGTGAGGTCGTATGGCAGTGTCTCATTGAAATGAATACCGAGTAAGTATATCACTCTGTTGAAGGTTCTGTCCTCAAGCACCCGTGGGCATGTTCGAGCCTATAGTGAGTTGTCAGGTGAGCTACATACGTGGAGTTGTGTCCGTCAAGGATGCTCACCCTCTCCATTTCTATTCAATTTCATCAGAAACATTCGTATTGAGATCTCGCTCCCGTCGTCTGACTTAACAGGGATTGATCTAACCACAGAAAAATCCTTGGTAAACCTATAACATGCAGGTGATATAGTTTTGTTAGATGAAGACTGTCACGATGCAGAGTCTTCTGGACACATTGAGTGGCAACTTGATCGTTTTTGAGATACGTTTCTCGCCACCCAAATGCAAAATGTTGTTTCAGGACTGGTCTTCAGTTGTGCGCTAACAGTAGAGAGTGAAGTGGTTGAATGCGTTGACCACTTCACCTGCTTGGAAAACTCGGATCGACGAAAAAAGCTCAACTGATTGTAGCTAGATTACGCCACCGGGGTATCTTATTGTCTGCTAGGGGTCGACTGCACTGCAGTTCGCTCTGTTCTACTGTATGACTGGGAATTGTGGCCACTAAAGATAGAGGATATGAGAAGGCTTCAAAAGTTTGACCACCATTACCTTCGTAGCATAGTTCGTGTGTCGTGGTCTCACCACATCTGTAAAGCAAGAGTCAGATGTAGGGAGGAGAGAAAAGACAGTTGATGTGGTTGTAACCTTCATCAACTGAGGTGGCTGGGATGTGTTACACATTTGTAGCTATGATAGCTTCAGTAGTTTTTGGCTGGCATAGGGCGACCAGACCGAAACGTGGCATCAGTGCAAGAGGTCTTTCGTTGTTGGTTTGAGCCGTATTGGGAAATGCAGACTGGCTAGTTGGTGTCCATGTACTAACAGAAACCAGTGGTTAAAGACCCTAGATGATCTGGCTCAGAATCGATGTCAGTGGCGCAGATGCATTCATACTTTATCTTCAACTTAATCGCTATACTGAACTCGGCATTTTCTTCTTCCTCCTTTAACTGCTTTTGACCGGTTTTTTTTATTTTTCATCTTATTGCTTTGTAACTTGATATGCCGATATGTGAGTTGTGGGAACTTGGACCGTTAGACAGTAATGCTTGGTCCTATGTTGCAATTGATTATAAAATAAGGGCAGACTTATATCTGCTTGTTGGTCAGCAGTGGAATCCAGGACGTGCGTGTTTACTTTTATGTGGGGCTCATCAGCTGGATGTGCCTGCATCTCAGTGAGTGATGTTCCCACTGAGACAAACCCAGTACCCATCGCTTCAAACGCCAAAGCGTTATCCATTAGGCCACTAAGGGTGATTTACTTAACTGACCATTTCTCCCAGTAAAAGACACTTCCATGAGACCTCATTTGGGAGAGGTAAGCGCCGCCTTCAGTTTATGAAATACAGTTAGTGTCGGATGCCGTTGTATCTGTCCCAGAACCTGGTGAAGTGTGAATGCATATCTAGTCAAAGCACCCATCGCCAGATTTGAGACTCTTCTGATTTTGTCGTCCTTGCTGTTCCCGAACTACAGACCCAAACGTCTAATGGAACCTGAAATCTTAGACACTGTTCTACAGGTTAATTCCTCTGTGATCATCACGGAAAGACTTCTTCACCTTTCTTGAACATTGGAAGAATTAGTGGTTGGAACCAGTCAAAGGGGATCGTACTTTATTTTCATTCCTTAACGAACACTTCAAGCAACCTATCTGATAATTTGTGACCACTGTCCTTAAATACCTCCGGTAGCGGTTCTTCTCTTCTTCCTTGTCTCAGGTTGCTTCTTCTGAAAGAGTTGAAGGATCTACATCAGGTTTCCATTCAGGAATCGGCTGGATACCGGGCAACAGAATAGTAGTCATAACCCAGTCGAATTACTCAAATGAAATTCATTCTTCTATGACCAAAATATATCAGGCCGGGGGGCAGTGTGCTGTTGTCACTGTCGAACGTTTCCGATCCCCTTTCATATAGGAAAGGCAGCATCAGTATGACACTGCTGGTCAACCACAAGAAAAGCTTTAATCTTGTCATACTCTCGTTCAGCTAGGAGTAAAACTTCACCATCGGACCTCCATCACATCGTTGCAATTTCACTGTACCAGCACTTGCTTTTTGTTTCGCCGTTACTAACAATTTTTGTAGCATAGTGTTGACCTCAAGGAATCAAATATTCCCACCAGAATCGATCGTTGTCTCATTGTGATACCAAAGCCCAACCACTTCAAGATTGCAGCTATCAGCCACTTATGTTAGTCACGCCTCCCAGTTCGGCCTTAAAGTTTGGTTTGCTTATATTCGTATATTTAGAGTCTTACTATCGTATATTCGTGATGTGTGCTACATCAAGGTCCAGTTTCTAGTGAATACCTGTCTCATTACTACATATTGCATACTAAAGTTTGAGACCTAAGAGTAGCTCAGACTCTACAGGTTGCTTAACTTTACTACAATAAAGTTAACTATTTGTTAGAATTACATGTTAGTCAACGTTGTAAACCAGACCACTGCAATTCTGTAACAAGGTGACAAGTTCAGCTTTGCTTGTACTACTTGATTTTACTCACTGATATTTTCGTTGAGTTCGCGTGTGAAGATGAACTGCTTTCGTTTGGTGCACGAATACGTTAACTGATTGTATAGTTGCTGTTCATAATGTGTATTATGGGTCTATATCTCTACTTATGCAGTTCAGTTTCAACAGCTGGAGAAAAACAGTAGTTTCTTATTCACTGTGCTTATCGTTTGCAACCCATTGGTAAGGTGTATGCATAACCTATCAGAAACTTTAGAAATATCCAGTCATTCATATCTATATTTGATAACTTCAAGTAATTACTTTCTAGGACTCTACATATTCAGGTTTCTCTGTCATTGTAGATACTGAAGATCAGTATACAGCGAAGCATGTGGCTGCTGCTCGTTTCCAGCGAAATCATCGTCTGATGCAAGAAGTTTTAAGTGACGCTAGACTTCCTGACCCTGGACAGCTGATAACACAAAGTCGATTAAACACCCTACGTCTTCAAGTCGAGCAACTGAAAAACCACAAACGCAATTTATGTCAAGAAATTGAAGGATGTGAGGCACGCCATAAGGCTAAAGTTCAACGTATTCGTGAAGAATCTGAACGTTTTCGAATGGATTATCAAAAGATAACTGCAGCGAGGCCAGTTATCACGGAGTCCCAGTTTGCTGACATGATAGTTAAGGCAAAACATGATATCCAACGTGAGGAGGAAGATCGAAGATCTCGTTATTTGGCCGAATTGGAAATCAGGCGCAGACGCCAACAGCAGCGGCAACAACGAGAAGCCGAGTTATTGGAGTCTGAACGTCGAAGACAATTGCTTCACCAACAACAGTTGCAGCAGGCTCATATGCGACCGGTTCACACACCTGTTATGCATAGTGATCCTAATATTCAATTTAATGATCGTCCGCTGGAAAGACTGATAGCACAGGTTTCTATATTTACTGATTTTTTTAATATCATTTATTATGTATTCAGGTTAAATCAATTTTAGAATTGAATTGACGTTCATCAAGTCCACTTTAACCAACTTTGCCATAACTTACAGTGTTGTATATGCTCCTTGTCGATCATACTTAGCGGTGTAGATCTAAGTACGCATTTTAGGCTAGAATTCACTGTCTAGATTCTTCGCATGAAATTTAGGTGTCTAATCTAATGGACTGCCACAACCCACAATGCAATTTCTGATTACAGTCTCTTTCTAACTAAGGGAATATATAATAACGCTTAAATAGGTCATTGTATACTTATTTCAAATATTTCAGTAAAACATAGTCTTATATTCTTCTTAACGTGAACAGTTTCTTACTGATCTTTTCAGAAAAATGTTCGAAACTTTCATCCACACTAGTAAACTTTACAACAGCTATAACTTTAAAAGCCTACCACACTGCATCCACACTCTGACTTCGTGTTCAGGGGGTTATTTACTTATGGACCACATAACCTAATGGTGCAGTATTTCTGTTATTCAAGAGGAATGTTCATTATTTTCAGGGCACAAAACTATTGAACCACAATGTCGATGATCAACAGACTGACTAAATTTATCACAATAAACACCTCACTTATGGGTGAGCGAAAGTGCACAGTCACAAGATTTTTTAACATTACCGATATTGTTTGTTGTTCAACGCAGATGTACAACACAATCCTGTCAATTATCACATCGACTACTAATTCAAACTAGACGCTCGCTCTGTAAATTCATAAAGATTTTGTTGTTTATAAATATTGTACTGTTGCGTGTAATCGTAATCTAGAGTCTTAAGATGAAAGTACTAGAAAGTTCTATTTCAACAAACTAATAGTTCTCGTTTTCGGCATAAGTTCAAAGACAATGTTAGAATGTAGATATATATGTAGATAGATTTTGATGGAGAAGTACCAATGTAGTATGCTTTTAGGACGTGCTGCATGTGTAAATTCAGTTTTAGAGAGTAGTAAACGAGTAATAATAAAAGTTGATAAACTTACCAACCACTTTTCCAGAAGATTAAAGCAATTAATCACGTGTGATGAAAGTACAGGTTTTTTCGTTGGTTAATCTAAGGGCCGGAAAAGCTTGTTTTTATAGCCAGTCACACGTATTGCCTAGGGCAGAGTTGAGAGCAAGAAGTTTGAACTCCATGTTTTTTAAAATATGCCCTTGAGCTTAATTTTTCCACAGTGCTTCCATTAGGATTTAGCTAAATAACAAGGTTAAAAAAGCATACTCTTTAGTTGCCTTTTTGACCCTCTACCTTTTCACCCCTACTAACACTGATTTTGTCCGCAAATATACAAGGACAGACAAAATCAGCGTAGAACCTGGCACACAAGTGCATCGGTTCAAGTTGCCACAAAAAACAAGTGGACAGTAGAAAGTTAGATCAGGGTTGAAAAAGTTGTGAGAGAATAAACAATTCAAAGATGAAATATAGCGTAGATATTCAAGCTTTAGAAGGCATCAGAGAGTGAATACATCTGCACCACTCTGGTCCACTTTCAGCCATGTCACCAAGAGTCGTCAGCTACTGATTCCTATCTTCTCGTGGACCCCACAAGTAGTAAATGACTTTTTTCACTTCACTGAAAATTCCGCTTTTTATCATTATCTTGTAAATCTATCAGTCCATTTGTTTTGTTTGCTTAAAGTTATATTTGTCTTGTCGACAACTTTTTTCTCTTATCTAATGTTTTTTAGGACAAAAGAGATGATACACCTCAACCTTCACCGAAACTGCCTGCTACTTCAGGGAATTTAGTGAATCCTGCAAATGTTAAAGTTGCTACTGAACTTGGAAATGCTACGAACGGTGTATCGTACCCTCCTGGAATAGGAAATACTTTCGCGCAGCCACCCACTCAGGGTTCAGTATCTAGGTTTCCTCAATCTGGTCATACGCAACATCACTACCCACCTCCTCCACATTACTTACCCAATGCAGCATCACCAGCAAACCCAAATATCCTAGTTCATCAGCGTAGTCCAGTAGCAAATATTCAGCAGGCAACGTCAAACAACACAGGTAAACCTAATGCATCACCATTAAGTCGCACGAAGAAAGTTCCTTCGTCTGCATCATCTACTTCATCGGCATCCTCAGCTTCTTCAACATCTTCAAAAAAGAAGAAACCTGATTCTGAATCCACTAAAGACCCTAGTATATGCCCGACTAATCAGGATATGCGTGAACGGCCGGTTTCTAGGTCAGGTGAGGGTCTAATGGATCAAACTAAGTCCAGTGAGTTTGGCATGGCTCCTGGACAGTCAAATGAGTTTCAACAAGGGTTGGCAGTTCAGTCCAGACAGCTTGTTACTTCTCAATATCCTCCAAACTCTGTCATTTCAACACACATACCCGGTGCTTCATTACAAACACCATACGGTTACGAGCTTGGTATACCAAATTCTTCAAATCCACCCTTACCTGGTGGGCCTTATTATCATCCACCGGTCTCTGTTTCTAATCCCAGTGGTTACTCTCATCCGCGCCCACAGTTTTCACAACATCCTCCTTACAGCGCTGTGCAGTATCACTCTATCCCGCAACAGCCATCATCAGAGCATCCGCCTCCACCACCAATGTATGTCCAACATATACCACAGCAACCTCATGTTCCACAGCCTGGACCACCAATGGGTGGATCTAGTCAGCACTCTTCAAACCACATCCCGTCACCTCAACAACAAAGCACAAATAATTGGCATCCTGGTGGTCCGTCCCCCTATCCTCCACACTATGGTCCTTCTCGCTATCCAGTTCCGGGTGGTTCTGTGGGTTATCCAATGCAGCCTCCACGAAATTTCGGTCCGAACTCTGGCGGATATTCAGTACCCCACTACCTTGTTAGTCAACATAACACACAAGCACATCATCAAAACATACCACCTGTACCGGTTTCTTTGCAAGATGGGTCTGTTGCATCTCAACAGATCCCAGCACCGCCACCATACCAGCAGCAGCAACAACCAAGTTCCGTTGTGGGTTACTGGCCCACACAGCACCAAGTACCTCCTGACTATGCTCAGGGCCAGCATTCTTCTCATTACATACCTGCTTCCCAATCTGAACCTGTCACTGCTTCAAATCAGCAAGCGCTTTCATCTGTGGACAGCGTCCATCCATGTTCAACCATATCTGGACCGTCTGTGGATGTTGGTATAAGTCAAGTGGTACCTCACCAATCTCAGGGAGCCAATATTTATTATCCAGGTAATATGACTTATTTTCTGTTTGTGACGTCTTCCTAGATAAGCTTAATCAAACTCACTGTGTGTATTATAATATGAAAAGTAAAATTGATGTAGTGAGCCACTTTCCATGTAGTCAGAGTCCAAGTGTAACTAGGTAATATAATTCTTGCAGTTGGTTTGGGGCAATCAGTCGTAACCACATTCACTGCCGAGGAAATTGTTTCAAATTGTAACTCAGTCTGTTATACTGAAAGTGTGAATGTCGAGAATAGTCAAACACATCGACTAGTTGGACACTTAGTGATAATAATGACAGTAATGATAATAGTAATAATCGCTTTATTTCAAACAAAATGTATGATACAGTGTGGAATTCTCTGCATGTAATATTTCAACAAATTCACTCCCAGAACAATATTTTCGAATGAAATGATTATTGCGTCTGAATGATGTTGATAATAACAGACAATAATGCGAAGCAGCCAGCTAGTGTTGAATTGGTCTCCGGTCTCTAATAGAGTATGAACGGAAGGGCGAGCGTAATTTTGGTAGTGGTATCTTAGGAATAGAAATATGATGTGTTTCTGTGCATTTAAACATCTATGTCCGTCTAAAGTGATATTTTCCCCTTGTTTTGTTATTAACTGGGGAAATAGCTAATTGAAAACCTTTTTAAAATCAGCAACAGTGCATATCGCCTTCGTAGGACATATTTGAAAGACTGAAGCAAACTGAAAGGGAAGAATCTGATGCAATATATTCGTTTGGAATTTTTTGGTAACCCAAGTTTCATGCAGGCTTTTAAGCAAGCAAAGAATGAGCAGGATCGAATTCATTAAATTCACATTTTGTTGCTACTTGCTCCATGTATGCATGCATGCTTTGAGGTTTCATATGAATTAACATGTATGTGTCACTCATCCGATGAGTTCTATTGAAGTTCAGTAGAGTCATTATATTCTGTTTCTCTCACATTCGGTGTTTACTCTTAGTTCATCATTGAAAAGAAATAGATCTCATAACAGTAACTGTTTCCAGTTACATTTGAGTGAAAACAAGAGTAGATCCAATGATAAACGTTATGATTAGTGTGACGCGTTTCATTTTATAATTCAGCATCTGCAACTACCCATTCAAAATACATTTTTAGACATGACATGACTTATATGTGCCCTTCTTAGCTATGGCCTTTGTAGGCCTACCTCGACACGCAGTGCTATGGGTTATTTTCTTCATTCCACCTCTTGTGGCTGGAAGGCATTATTATTAATTGATGTATTCATCAATCGGGGTAGGTTTTCGCGACTAGTCCAATGTCTAAGCTTCGAATTTGTTTCTTATTGACATTGATTTATTCGTGTGTGCGAAATACTTAACAGTGATATTTTATTTGTTACATTTGATGTGTGAGTTTACTATTATTAAAAACACAAATTTTTGCGCTTAATTTTCTTGTCAACATTTTTACTACCACTAACTAATTCCACTAAGTCATATAATGTGATCGAAATAATACAGAAGCCGCAATCTACCGGAGGTGTGTTTCAGTGGCTGCTGCCAGAATTTCATCTATTTGTCATTTCTGAGTAGAAAATGTAGTGCAGCAGAATTTACCACCGGTAACTAGCAAGTATATATGTAACTACCATACTTCCTAAATTCTACTCTTCTGTTAATAGATTCTTCTTAATAATAACGTTTGAATCCACTTTCAGGTGGTTCTGTCTCACCGTACACTCATGGTAGTAATATGGGACCGAATGCATTTTATTCCGTACCACCACAACATCATTATCCCCTTCAACATCAGCACGGTGGCCACTCTTGGGTAGGTTATCCCAATTCTGGTCCACCTCAAGTTCCAGTCTATCCACCATCACAACTCGCTCACCAATCACCCCAATGTAGTCCTGGGACTTCATATCCGAATTCACAAATCACAGGAAAACCTGAGCAACCTATGGTAACGGCTAATGCAGATAATTCAGCTGGTATTGGCTCATCTGGTGGTTCAACTAGTCGCCCGCCATCTACCAATAATTAATCGTTTCAGTAATATAAGTGCATTTATGTCACTCCAGAATGACCATTTCCCATGCTGAATTATTCATACTGTATATTACCAACTGTTGAATGTAGCGATGTGAAAACATTACGTTTTCACAAATTAAATTATCTATACTAGTTCTATGCTGCTTGTTGTCGTCTAATTTTTCGGTTTTTTGTGTGCCTAAGCATGCTTAGTAATCTCCGTGCGGTTCGACAGTCGTACTGTGTTTTATCGTTTCTAGACATCCTCGAATAAAATCCTTATGGCGTGTATTTCATGCCGTGTTCTCGTACAATTTGTAATTACTTTATTGTTTATTCTTTCAATTATTTGGTAGTCATTGTTATGCTCGTAGTACTAACTGAACTACTCTTCTGCTTTAATTTTCATCTGATTTTGTAGACGTATTATAAATCTTACTAAACTTTTTCCCATCCTATCTATTTGAGTGTCAATGGATATAAGTTGTGTGTGTGTATCCAAACCTTTATCAATATAACAGTTTTTGGAACTGATTCGATCTTCTCGATAGTTTTCTTTTCCGCAGTGGATCTAATTCGGGTATCTGAAGTATTTGCTATGTTTGTAAGTACCAATGAAGGCTTTTAGGTCAAGTTACTTAAAAATTTGAAACCCAGATTTAGTATGTCCTGATGTTAAGAAGAAATAATTCAGCAAAGAACATGTTTTTTTTTCGATGATATCATTTTCTCAAGCTGTACAGTCGTACTTATACATATCGAAAATGCATAAGTCTGTTATTAAACAATAGGGTATAATTACATCAGTAGGCTAGTGCTAAAAGCCGAAATCAAGAATGGAAATAGTTGCGTAATAGTCTTTTAGACAGTGGAATTAATGGGAAAAACAAGGAGTTTGGCACGTTGAAAATTGTTAGTGTATGTGAAATTCGAATTTTGCGTGTCCACTTGATAGATATGAAGAAGGAAACAGGTATCACGACGGTGATAATACTGAACTAACTAATCATAATGAAGTCGAGAAATTGTATGTTAAGACCGTGGTAAAATAAGGAATTGGACATGCTTCTTCTGCACCCAAAGATCAGGCTTGAATTAGTGGATTGCCAGTCCTTCTGCTGTGCACAACTTCCAAAAGCGTACTTCTTTCGAACCATTCTTTTGACCCTGTATGTGAAAGAGGACTTTGGTGGAGCTATATGTCCAGAATTGAACTGTTGATTGGTTTGCATTCTCCTCTCGATGCGCATACAAGACAGTGTTCAGAGAGAGGTTTGGAAAGTACGGCCTATATAACTAGTCTATGGCAGCGAGTAAATTTGTAGACACATACTTGGGCTGCCCAAGGTGGCAACTTTTCCTTAACGATCACTGGAAACGGTTGCTAACTAGAGAAACATCTGTAACTTTTCACAAAAGAATGTCTTCGAAATAGTGGAGAATATTTGTAGCTCAGGTGGATGGTATTGGTTGTATTGTGTCCTCTGAGCTGGCTTGTTTAATCGTGGAGCTTTCATCGTCTTTCTAGACGACATCAGCACTACTACTATGAAGTGAGCTATCGATATCTCTAACCTTTATTAATAATAGGTATTTCTAACTTATACATTTATGGAGAGGTGTTTTCCACATTACTTGCTGTACTGAGTGGAAAACGAATCACAATTTATTCATCTCTGGCACTTTAATTGATATTCTGTTGCACTTCCTACTGCGTCGAACCGAAATGTTATACAGTTTGTCATCACCTCTGAGAGGCTCATCATGATTATCACTTTGTGTGATTCGATATTAGCTTTGAGCTGGAACATTCTGATGGCGGAAAGTTAACCACATCTTGGTTGTATTGTGTTCTCTAAGCTGGGTTGTTTAATCGTGAAGCTTTCATCGTCTTGCTAGACGACATCATCAGCACTAACTTCAGTATGAAGTGACCTGTCAATATCTCTCCATCAGTGATTTAGTAGCTTGCCCTGATGAATTGGTCTGTGATTGATTGTTTGCTTCGATTGTTGTGTCATTCATTGTATAGACTTTCCTATTAGCTGTTCCTGTGCTTGACCTTTCTGTCGTTTATCATTTTTCTCATTGGTTGATAGGTCGGGTCCATACTCTGATATCAGAGTATTAGTAGTAGCTTGCCATTCAGGTCAGTCAGCAATCACCCAATCTATTAACCAATGAGGAAAATAATAAACGACAGAAAGGTCAAGCAGAGGAACAGCTAACAGGAAAATCTATGCAGTCACTGACATAACAATCAAAGGAAACAATCAATCACAAATCAGTTCTTCACGGCAAGCTACTGAATCATTCACGGAGAGATATCGACAGCTCACTTCATACCATAGTGCTTATTATTTCGTCTAGAAAGATGATGAAAGCTCCGCGATTAAACAAGCCAGCTCAGGGAACACAATACAACCAAGAAATGTCTTCAGCGGTTTGGATAACCCACCTTTCTTATATAGAAGGGAGGTACTGGGGGTTAATTCCTCTTAAACAATAAAGTATCTGTAGATAAATGGATGAATTCTTCCATGTTAGGCGTAGTGACCGGACTGATATCCGTTGTCAGTCTAACTTACCGGTCATTAGATTTGTTGCGGAAAATGACATCAGCATAGAGTATTCAGCACTTTCTTATCTCTACGTGTTTCCTGATTCGCAATTGATGCGTGACGTATGAAAGTCAGCATCAAACTGGATATCTGTCGCGCTGGCATTTTTATGATAATAAGGTTAGACATCTAGCCTTGAATATGTCGGTGCATACGGTCCTGCTTAGGTGCATATGGCAACTAACATAATTAGCAAAAGATTTGGGTGCAAGGGGAGAGTTGTATCAGTTGTAAGGTCAAAATGCAAGGTAGTGCGGGAAAGTATATTGTTGCTTTACTTGGTTAAGGTAAAGAAATGTACATATGTCAGTACTGTTTTAAAGGAATCAATCATGGCTTAAAATTGGTTTTTGTGCTGCCTACACCATACTTGTTAAGCAGAATGTATATGTTACCGTTACACACTGGCTGGTGCTTTTGGTAGGAAATGTGAATACTTCAACCAATACAGTAGTATGCAAGTTTCTACCTCTTCCACAGTCTTCAGAGGAAGTCAAAGGTCCTTGAACATCTACGTATCTCCCCGATTTACCTCCTAAAACTGCAATTCTTACGTGTACACTAAAAATCGTAGGTGGTGTTTTGCTCACATTTTACAAAACAGTGGATTACGTGGTGTTTATTCGTATTGACTGTTCATCTGTCTAGTACAGAGGGTTGTCAGATGTCATAAGTTCTTGCTGATTTGTTACTGTACCGGCTATGTTGGAATTTTATTCGTAACTATGTTCGCTGCTTATTATTGTATATTTGGGGTACCTATTAGTCGATAGAAGCACTAGTTACTTTTATGAGACAGTGATAAGTTTAGACAACTTGCTTCTTTTAAAGCATTTGTAATAATCATCCGTTAACGGTTGTATATTTAATGGCATTGTTCAAGCGTATAGTAAACTGGTTCATTCTCACCACCAACTTTCCACTATGATAAAACAAGACTGGACATAAATGCTTATCTTCACTAGACATCTCTTGTCATTTGTTGCACAGTGGGACAGTATTATTTTTTGGATGACGCTTCTCGCAGTATTTACTGATGGCTATAAGAAATAATTTCTGTTTGAAATGTCATCTAGCAACCAATACTATTTCACTGTGTGATGCCACATAATAAGGGGACTTTAATGGAGTTATACTCTACAACAGTGCCTGAGTTCAACTCTTTTGCTATTTATTTTACTATTATTTCAAAACACCCTGAGATGTGTACAAATGTAACTTATATCTAATGTCAACTTTCTACTCGGAGCCCAGTATTTGTGAAATTACCCGGTTAAATGTCAACCTGAATTCCACAATCAAAGGAACTGTATAGCTGGTACAATCATCCTGTGGTTACACTTTGTCATCTACGTCGGCATATTTATCTGAAATCTATAACTGTAAAACCACCTGGTACTTCTACGTGGTCTGTCAGGACAGCTTTTTCAACCACAAGAATTTTTATCACAGAACGAATGGAACTAATTCGTTCACATATCAAGGATATCGATTATATATTATTCTTGTTGGTACGGACTAAATTATCGATTACAGACAATTTTATTAAGCATTTAAAAAAACCCCTCCAAACATCTAAAAACCGGCAAATTTGAACGAATGCTTCAATATATTTGGGTGACTTTAATGGCCACCCTGACAACAGCTGTAATAACCAATCAAATCTCAGTATTCCGCCTAGAAAGGTAGCTTTTCATAAAATATAGGAGCCTTATTGGTTATTTTAGCAGTTGTTAGGGTGGCTTTCAGAGTCACCCAGATATTTCAAATCCCAAGTGCCACCAACATATCAAACAAAGTTCCAATAATCTCTGTGAATAAAGTGGTAGTAAATCTTTCCGATAGGAATTATCCTGATTATGAACTATCACTCCTACAGAAAGGTCTAAATTTTAATCTGAACAAACTAAATTTTTCTGTTTTTGGGATTGTGCCTACAATTTAACTGACTTCACAAAACCTTAAAAATGATGCAGTGAATTATGTGGAACACAAAATATCCAGTGCACTATTACGTCAAAAATCCAATGTTAGGGATTTTGATTATTTCCTTGGAGAAACTCAGACCAGGCTTCCATATGGAACGTTGGAATTTCCTACTTGAAACAAGCTGAGATTCGTCCAAATTTAACTTATGTAACAACGTAAGGTATAGTTGCGTCATTGGAGTACTGTTCAAGACTGGAACAAGCAGATGCCTAATAATATGCAAGAATGCGATTCACAAGAACGATAAGGGATTTAGCAGGGTAAAATTGTTAGATGTGCAATGCCATGATAGATTGTTTATTTGATACAGCACACTGACAGTACTACTTATACCGGATGACGTTTTGCGCAGAATTTATCGCGCATATTTTTATCGATGTGTTCATGTCACTTTCTAACAGTT